AGAATAACCGGACGGAAATCGAAGCTTTAGCACTAGCGTTAATAATGCCAGTATTTACAACGAATTGAGGATTATAATAAACTAGTAGCTAAGTGTATATCATTTGAAGTTCAGCAATTTTGCTAGGTTGGACACACGGTATCTGTGAATTAGCCTAACCTGAACTAATAAGAGTGAATTTAATTTGCGATTTAAGTTGTATATAGAAGGCATCGTAGAACTGTCCCGAGGCATCTAGTAATCCGTGTTGACATATCAATTGTAGAAAAGGATGTCAGCTGAGCTTGAAAGCAAATTTGATTAAACTTACTTAAGAGTATTACAATGATGGTTGTCAGCTTCTTGCTCTGACAGATTTTGAATGTGTTAAGGTAATATGTAAAGTAACTCGATTTGCTTAATTAATGGCTTTGGAGGTAAATTTTAGGCCATTCTAAGCATAAGTCAAAAGTTATTTTCTTCAGACATCAATATGGCTACATTGTAATTACTTGTATAAAGTGGCATTAAAGCTTTGAACTAGATCCTTCCTATTTTTGAAGAATGTATGTGAGCTCAAATCAAGAAAAGTTAATTAGCTCTCTCAAGCGATATTCTAACGTGCGAATTCCCAAAAGCATCGATATGATAGGGCAAGGAAATAAGTCAGTAGAGATAATTAACAAGAGCACACTTTTGCCTGAACATTAACTACAAAGAAAATGCGAGCAGCCCCAACGACGGAGCCAATACCTGTGAATAAATTCAAAGTTTGAAGTTACACGGCAGAAGCCATGAAAGTAAGGTGAGTGTCAATGCTACCTAATATTAGAAAACGAGAGAGAATAAGTTTTGACACGTAGTAAATAGGAATAAGAATAAATAGGCTTATATAAAATCTTTGATGTACATGAGAGAAAAAGATTCTATGCACAATAACAAGATTTCTTCTCAATTTAGATCGCCTATAAAGCGCCCAAAACTTCAATACACAAATCAAAATGTATTTGGAAGAGCAAGAAGCGTAGACACTCAGCATATCGAAATCACTAAGTTTAATTTAAGTTTGTAGTGACGTCTTTTAAGATATATGTAGAGCAAATCCGACAATCAAGATAGTACAGGGCACTAATCAACATCAACTCGATTGATAATGTTTCGATTATATCAATATCATGTACAAGAACCCAAATTTACTTAGGCTTTTTATTCAACTTCGGACGAGAACGCTTTTTTTGTTGATGCCTTCTCATTTATTCGTGTAAACTTCAACAATCAGTTCTTACTTCACTATTATTGACGTATGAAGGCCTAGCCTCTTAATCAACATTAAATCATGACATGAAGAGCAAAATGAGACAAAACCAATAACAGAAAGTTGGTCATTCGAAAATAATAATTTAGCCTCAAGCACTTCCTTCATACCGAGCGACGAATAGGTAGCACTGAATACTTATATGTTATATCAGTTATGCGTTTGGTTTAATGTGGAAATTCCTAACGATAGTCGTCACTAACGCGACTTATGAATGTAGTGATAGGTTAAAAGCTCTTAGAGAGAGGACAGAAAGTATCCGGTCTTGATTGATACAATTGCGGCATCGAAATAACGATGCTTTTCTCGTATAAATACTATCTTTTGCAACCTGATTGTATGAGTATAATGATGAGAAATAGCAACGTGTCTGTAGGAGCAAGGATAATAATTTAGCAGTTCTCGTTTCAGTTACCGTATGCTTGAAAAGCGGGGTCGGGATAAAGACTTGAAAGCAGAGTTAGCCATTGTCATAAAGATGAGGTGACCATTAATGAGTTTGAAATAAAACGTTTGTCAATCTTACAAAATGGAGGAATGCTCCATTCACGACCGAAGACAAAAGCATAACAGGATGAAGCAAAGGGATTAAAAACATGTCGAATAAACCCCTTTTAACCTCAAGTTTCAGATAAGCCTTTCTTACTATTTTTAAGTCCCGCTTTTTTTTGCCAGGTGAGCTGACAAACAGCCCTATCAATGGCATGTTTTGGTCATAAAAACTCAGCCCAAATAGAAGCAATGGAACCACTAGTGATTAAGCCAGAGGATAAGTGATTACGGCTTTGTTCTAATAGTACCTATTTTTCCTATTCTCCAACGTTAGCTTCAGCCTTAATATATCTACTAGTCACTATTACAGGCCTCTTGGAAGGCCAACACAGGTTTAAGATGCGACTGCGAATTTCCTCGTAATGACTGTAAATCGGTGCTTTTCACTTGCCTACAATATCCAAATGCTTCGTGCTTAGGTAAGCATACTTTGTATTTTTGAACTAAAGTCAATGATAATGCCCACATTTTTGTTGCATACCCTCTTTATCCTTTATTTACGCTTGCATAAATCGGGATCAGCTGACATCTGATCTTGGAGATTGCTACTTTATCTGTTCATACAATTTTTGTATATGGGTAAAGCAAATTGACACGATTCCGCTCAGAGCGTACAACATGGTATGTCGATCGTGGTAGGATCTTTTAATGGCTTCGACCAAACCTAACTGTCGTATCCAAACCTTGCATTGTAAAATATTCCCTAAGCTCATAATAAGTAATACTAAGACGAAAATATTAAGAGTAGTTAACACATTTTATCATTTACAGTCGCTATAAAAGGCTCAGATAATGGCTAATAACCCATTTGCTGCATGCACGATTTCGTCTTCATATTACTCCGCGATTCGCTCTGTTATTATTTTTGCAGATAAAGCTTCTGCCCTCGGCCTGAGCTCTGTCATCTTGCATTCTGTATGCTGAGGCCTCGTCACAGCAGTCAAAGAATCCTGGTTAAATCATGGGAAGAGGTTGAATGGTGAGTAGTACCATTCTGAATGACTGACAAAACGAAAATGATCCGCTCATTAACACTGTACGTGAGGATACCATTTAAAAATTGTATATTCGCAAAGGGCATAAACTTAGTTGCATTTAAATTCCTTTGTAAACGATTAAATAATTCGATGTCTCGGTTTTCCTTAAACTTACAAATCTCCCGAAGAGTTCAATGCAAATAAGTCGCATAGACCCTGCATCTTGAATTGGGAACGTGAAATTAGTTTTCTAAAGTAACTAGGATTAGCCTTTTAGTTTGCAGCAATTAAATTTCTAATGCTAGGTTTATATTACTATATTACCCATTATCTACTGGTAGTATCAAAGCCTACTCAACATTAATATTCGGCATACTCTTCAGTATGGAGATATAAGGATGAGTATATATATAAATATACATATATATATACACAAACATTCATACGTATAAGCGTACAATATCAAGCCGAGGTCTGTTCGGAAAATGATACAGAATAATCTATTTTGTCAAATTAATATATCGTTAATTAAGTAATATATAAATATGAAGACCAAGATTTGGCCTGTTGTGATCGCAGTCTCCATTCGATTTATGGACGCGGTCTGACCTCGTTTACGCAACTTGGTCGTGCTGTCCGTGAGAAAGTGTAAAGCGCACCCTATCTGGAGTTCAATGATATACTAATTTTGACAATTCCCAGCGTTGGACTGTGGACTTGAAACATTCCAAGATGTTTTGTGGATATCGTCACTAAATCTTGCCATTCTTAGCCCAAAGCTACAAATAGTCAAAGAGATAAGTAAAGGCCATCCTCTGACCAGCTTTCGGCCTTCTTTCCTTCTACATCTTCTTCTGATTTAACTCGTCTCTTTAAGGAGATTTAGCTTGGTACCGAGAATAACCTGACTCACTGACACTACCGACCACTATGCCGAGGAAACCTCTGTGACTAAATCAACGGTCCGACACTGGTAATAATAATAATTACTATAGTAGATGACTTCAGACAAGGTGCGTACAGCTAGGTCTCTCGAACAACGACCGAATTTCAAAAATAAGGTCATACCACCTGCTAAAGTAATAAATAATTGATAGGTGATACTTATTCCAGAATTAATGATAGCTTCTTAACAGATAGATATTCAAAACTCAAGGACAAGGAAAAAAACGTTGTATGTTTTAGTAATGATGGATTGAAGAACAAATGAAATTATATCATTAATTCTATGGCTGCTTAAATAGAGCTGCTATCTATCCAATGGAGCAGCATATTTTGCTGCATATCAAACATCTGCATTCGCCCGTTGAATTGTAGTTTATCTCAACTAGCATTACTCGATAAGCAACCGCTGTAGAATAGAGCGAGTCCCTAGGGTTGGAAATATAGAGGCCTCCGCCCGGGCTTTGGAGCCAAAGAAGCGGCGAGATAAGGGCTTTATTTTTCTGTTTGTGCCGGAAAGAATTCCGGCATCTCCTCGATGCAGTGGGATACGTCTAGAGCCGCCTAGACTAGCAGTGCTTTTTGAGCAGGTAACTGTTGCTTTTACCTCGTAAGGAAGAGCACATGCCTCCTGAAACTGATAGGTATTGTTTGAAGATTCGTATTTAGATTCATTGACATATTTCTGATCCGGGGGATTAGAGACAAAGCTCTTAAGAGAATCAGCGGAGAAGATGGCTACCTCACCCTCGACGTCTAATGCCAACTCCTCAGGCTTAAGATCAGCCCAATGCTGATGAAGTAGGCTCAGCAATTGGGCGTCATCGATTGGCGGAAGCAAACAGACACCCATCCATAGAGGCCACTTATGCCTGATAAAAAGTAATGGAAGTAAAAAAAACAAACAAGATCAAACACACTTATTAAAAAATTGTAAGCAGACAATTCCCATCAAATTAACTTGAAAATATTGCCTGAGCTGTGATACTCGAGTTGGATGGTCACAGTCTATCTTTGTGGCTGATAAGTAGCTAATTTGTTCAAAGATAGGCTCGTATAAAAGGTGTAAAAATGCTACCCATATACTTTTTCGAGAAGCATAAGTATGGATTTGCAAGCAAATGATATATTAAGATGGAGATGTAGTTAACTCAGGGTAAATATATTGGAAATATGCGGGATATCTTGATTCCATTAATCAAATATATAGTTGTTTTATATAAGAATTAAGTTAATTGTATTATAGCCCGACTAATGGCTAACAATATAATTATCAGGTTTCCAAACTAACGATAAATATTTTATAAGAATCAAAGTAATCTTAGGTCGCTTAAGGTACTGTAAAGCCTGATAGTTGAATTTCCCAGAAAAAAAAGACTAAAATCATCACGAAGTTATTGAGGGTAAAAGTAAGTGAGGCATCTATTGTTTTTTTAGGCAATTCATATATCATGTTCTCCAGATAATAATAACCTAATGTGATTCCAGTCCATATAAAACCGAAAATACAGGACTAGCAGAAGGCAAAGAATAGCTAGGGATTTCGTACAATGATAATCATGGATTATCAGACTATCAGATTAAGGGATATAACTCTCTTTAGTCAGGCTAAATAACTGCTCTGGTTTACGTCCCTGCACAAAAATAAAATCAGCTACCTATGATCTCGGGGCTCGACCACGAAGTCATTCGGATACATATGGGATAGAGGAGAATTCGAGGAAGTCATCAGATGTCTCCAGGCGGTAGGTACGAGATTAGATGATTCAGGAGGAAGTACAGCCATTAGTTGGGTAAGAGGAGAGAGTGGACGGCTATGATCGAACCAAGCCTGATCTGAAAAGGCATGACAGTTAAAGAAGGCTGTAAAAATACTAATAAGAGATCAGGAAACAAATAATTTTTGATAAATTCAATTCAGTAACTAGCAATCCGATAATTCAAAAACTGTGGAGTAAATATGAAGAATTTTTAATGGCAAATATAGGCCCAAGGAAGGCAAAGTCAAGAAGAGATGAAGGATAACAGTTTGCCAAAACACTAAAGTGAAGTCCAACCCAGTAGCGCTGAAAAACTATTATTCTCCCATTTTAAGATAGTTTGCCTATCAATGCCTAAATGCACAAATATGAAGAAAAAGCGAGTTTCAATAAATCTAATGTGATAAAATTGTTTTGGAGGCTTTCATCTCGCATAAAATTGATTTATGAAGAGATTTGTAAATCGATCTCACAAGAAGACGAATTATTTCTACTGTACCGCAGTCTTTTTGTTTTAGCACTACTTTCAGGTAGACAGCCCAAGAAACATTTTTTCCTCGTTTTGGGTGACACTTTCTTAGGCTAGAGAGAAATATTAGCCTGTATCAAGATTCGACAGTTATAGGATTGTGCTGTCTGTACAAAATAAAGTCTGGAATCAAGAGCTCAATAAATACCGGGAGTATATAAAAAGCAGTGAGATAACAAACTGAATGGTCTTAAACAAGTAATCAATCCCGAGTAATTATCCAATATTTTATTAAGATAAACACAAATGGGAACTAAATAGTAAAATCAATATGACAAAGCAGAATTTGCTTTCAAGCACATAGTAGTATTTAGATACAAGTAATAACTATAAGGACGCTTTGCTGTATAAAACATTTTTGTAGTGGAACTCAAATGCGGTAGTGGTAGGGCATATGGCCTAAATTTCCCTAATCTCAACTCTAACGTTCGCTGCCTTGACCCGACTGGAATTACAACTTTCGAAAAAGATATGGCAATAGCGACAGTTCGTTTAATGCGATGGAAGAATAGTTGTTTCTTTACACAAAATGAAGTCAGATTCTGAAAGGTTGGCGCATGCTTACATGGCTTTGTAGTATGCATAAGTCAGTTAAGATGTTAGAACCCTAACAAGTTGCTCAGATAAAAAGAAAAAGATTTACAACACTAATATGATCACACGGTTGTCCCAACAAGGAGATATACGAATTAACGAATTTTAGCAAAAAACGGTAAAAGCGCAATTAGCACTTCCGTCTTTACATCTTCCTTTCGAATATATTAATCTTATCTGGATAAGGCTAGTATAATATTTTGTGTTTTATTTGTGGCGACTATGCGAATGTATCCAACTCATACACAAGAGACTGCTTGAACATAAAGTTGTCTATAAGTCTTCTAAAACGTAAGCATATGGCAAATAATAGAGGACACCAGATGGAATAGTGTGAAGCTCAAAGTTTTGTAGAATGGGAAGACTTCGTGGATAAGCCGAGGCGAAAACTAACTCGGGTAATACGAACCGTGGAGGAAAGCAATGCTTGATTAACCTTGAGCATCACAGGAATCTCGTTCGGTTTTCCGTGAAGATAATTTATGAATGCCTTACAATCCATTTTTAAAAAGCCCAGACAACAAAAGAAAATTAGTTGCTAATATTTATGGCAACATATTTATGATTATGTTGCAGAAAAGAGATTAAGTGCAAGATACCACCCAGTACTTGGTGATATTGCATTTTAGACTAAACATGTATAATCTTTGCACCCTTGAAGTGATTTATCTTATGGAAATGAAGTCTTACTATTAATACATATAAGAAAAAGTCTATGGATTAATCGAAGGTATGAAGACCAAAATGGTGTGACCTTTTGTGTGGTCGCAGTCTCCTTTCGTCGTATAGAAGTTGTTTGACCTTGTTTTCGCAACTCGGTCATATTGGTAGGAAGACTTAGAGGAAAGCACCTTGTCTTGAGTCCATTGTATGCATTATCATTTCCAGAGTAGGACCGTGGACGTGGTACATTACCAGACGTTTCGCCGGCATCGTCAGTACTGACGCACAAGGAAGTCCTAGACTTTGTATTAGGGATACAATCAGGATGACAGTAGACCTGTTTTACTATAGACGTTGTCCATAAAGCAATGG